AACTGAATAAAACAAAATGCAAAAAAAAGGGAAAATGATAGAATGAATCTGGGAGATTAGTAAGGATGGAGCAATAGGCTAAAAGGTGATAAGTGGGATTTGGAGAGAAAATTGCACTTTAATCAAATGGATGTATAGCTTCCTAAAACAATACCCAAATATAAGAAAATTCTGTAAGTAGCCAGTTATTTCATTAAAGGAAGGACAATGTGTGTGTGGAGGGGGGTGTCTCCAGAGTGAAGATATGCCTTATTGCAGATGTATTTGCAAGGAAAAGTTTTGGGGTCACCTTTATTTGGAGACATTTCTCTCAAGCTGGTTTGTGTATTTACTATCTATAGCAGAGATATAACAGCACGTCTAGGTCTAATTGAAAAGGTATTTCCAAAATAGGTCATTTGAAATGAGAGTATTTATGGTGGCTTTCTTTGGGAAACAGCCATTCCATTGTGATTTTCTTTTCTTTTTTTTCTTTTTTGTCGCCTAGGCTGGAGTGCAATGGCATGATCTCAGCTCACTGAAACCTCTGCTTCCCAGGTTCAAGTGATTCTCCTGCCTCAGCCTCCTAAGTAGCTGGGATGGGATTACAGGTGTGTGCCACCACACCTGGCAAATTTTTGCGTTTTTAGTAGAGACGGGGTTTCACCATGTTGGCCAGGCTGTTCTGGAACTCCCGACCTCTGGTGATCCACCTGCCTAGGCCTCCCAAAGTGCTGGGATTACAGGCGTGAGCCACAGTGCCAGGCCCTCATTGTGATTTTCTTTACTCCTTTCCTAGTGTTTTGAGTGGAAAAAACCCAAATGATTTTGTTTTCTCTAATATTCCAGTAACTCATAAAGTTTATCATGCATTTTAATAGGGCTGAGATTTAAGATCTTGGAAGTAGAATGTTAGGAGTGAGATAAGCTTCATAAAAACAAAGACCTCAAACTGTCTAAGGAGATGCAAGTTCATAGCTAATCTAAATGAGATTTCTATTTAAAGTACTTCAATACAATATTATAATGCTTGTGGCCATGCTTACTGGAAAGGTGTTGGTGTGGCTGTTTCCATTAAGTCTTATCTTAAATGTTTCATTATTTTATACACAATGGCCACTGTGGTGCAGGAGGTCCCTCTTCATATACTTTTCTCATTGATGATCAATATTTAGGTTTTCTTTTGTGCTTAGAAATTGCTATTTTGATACACACTCATTTTAAATTATTTTACCTGATTTTACCCTTAAAGAGAAGGATAAAGTGTAAAGGGAAAATATGAAGCTGAATCTTTTTAAACCTGGATCATGTCACTCCACACTGTAAGAATAAAATACATGAGCCAAATCAATCTTTTTGGAGTTGTACATTCAAGAAGCACAAGTAAGCCAGCAGTCTGCCGTTTTGAGATCCCTCGAGGGTCATCAGGCTTTTTGGGTAGTATCATATTTTATTAATTAGACATTTACACTGAAAAGGATGTTCCAGGGCAGATCAGGTCCTTTTTTATTGTGTATATGAAAGAACGTGGCTGCAGCCATCATTTGTCTGAATCGTGGCTGCAGCTATAGTGTGTGATGTTCATGCTTGTGATCCTGCCCCTCTGCTGTCAGCAGGAAATCTTGGATAAAGGGGACCTTTCTGTAGCTGCTGCATGTCAGGCAGGTTCTTCCCATTGCTGTAGTTCACAGAAGGCCCAGGGCCTCTAGGAGGCATGGTAAAGTTGGGTGAAAGAAATATCACTGGATGGAGAATCAGGAACTTCGATCTCTGGTTTCAGATGGGCCAGTAACTTGCTGTCTGATCTAAGCAATCCACTTAACCCCTCTGAGCCTGGTTTCTTTCTCTGAAAAATGAGAGGACCTGGACTTGGTAAGTTTCAGTTTGGGGAATAAGAGGGCTCTAAAATTACTAGGTTGTGAATAAGATATCCACTTGTCCTAACATTTATCAAACTCTTTTGTAACACTTATGTTTGCCAGGCACTGTTCTAAGTCTTTAACAAAGATGAAGCCGTTTCATCCTCAGATGACACTTTGAGGAGGTATTATTATCATCTCCAGTTTATAGATCCAGAAATGTATGACCAGAGATAGAGCTGGGATTCAAACTCAGGCAGCGTGCCCTCAAGCCCATGCTTTTAAATACTGGCATGCGTTAGCATCTGACTCATCTAGAACACATCCTTTTTCTGGTGGGCTTCATAGAGGAGCATCACAATTACTGTTGTGGAGGAATCATTACTACAGAAAGAAATGACATTCAGGAGATCTGGCTTCTTCAATGATTGAGAACGGTGGAGTCTGTTTTGTGAGCTTCATATTGAAAAGCTTTACAAAGCACGTATTTTATTCTTCACAAAGTTCATGGGAAAAAAAAGGCATAGAGAGTCAAAGGAAAAGAACAAGGACACCTGGGGGTTCGGCTGCAATTAGAGCAGAAGAGTGCTTGTATCTGGAATCCTTAGATGTCTGATTACTGGTTTTGCTTATGTGTAAATAGAAGTTGCTGTGCTAAGCAGAAAATAATTGTAATAGATTCATTTAATCATAACGCTGCAAAGTTTCACTTGTTAGAGCTTCAAACTTGCAGATGAAGCTTTCCCTGGAGCAGCCAGTCTGATTGTAGTTGCTGTAACTGACCTACTTATCAGCTTTTTCAAAAGGTGGCTTAAATGCCTCCCAGGATACAGGAATACACAGAAAACCTAACAGGAGTAACTTTCCATAACTCATGATTCACTTTTAGGGCATTTGGGGGCCATGTATCTTATGAGGTAATCTTGTTCATGCTTGCAGTTTTCACCTAGACATGAGTCACAAGATTAATTCTTAATAACTCAACTAAGAATTCTTAATAGTGGGGTGACTAGAAGATTTCAAATCCAGAGGTATTTTTTCTGATAGAGTTTGGTTAGGTATATATGAGCAAGAGAGCCCACCACCACTTTTGCGCTGGTTGGTAACCCAGAAGTCATATCCTCTCTTGGGCCCTTGACGCGTTCCCCTTCTGGTTGGGTTAACGGTGGAGATAAAAGGAAATGACATTGGCTTTTAATGCAAATCGTTATCTCTTCACAGAAGTGAGTCAAGAGTTTGAAGTTGTGTTAGAACTATCCGTTTCTTGATCTGTAGAAGTCACCTAATGATGGTAAAAAGTAAGGTGGTTGGGAAACGACTGTATTTTATGTAAACTTGTGAGACTGGACCTCAGGTTGACAGACTGAAAGGCTGCTCTTTCAATTGACAAACTCTCAAAGGCACTGGGGGCTGTGGAGTCCCATCTAGAATGGATTCAGGAGGCTGAAATCAACCCCAGGATTAAAACCAAAGTGGCCTTTCTGAAATATCCTGGAAACCAATCGAGATCATTCCTCTATGGTTGACGCAAGTGAGTGAGAGCAAAGAAAGTGAAAAGTTATGAGCAAAAAACAAACTCCTTTTTTCCTTTCCTGGAATTCATATTTCCTTATAGTTCCACAAGCCTGATCACATCATCTAGTTTTTCTCTTTCATTTTTCTTTTCTTTGCTTTTTTTATCCTCCCTTTGTCTTCCCTGTTTCCCGTATTTTTTTTATTTCCCTCTCACCATCTGCCACCCTCCCTATCATTCTTCCATTCTCTTCTATCTAAAATTCTTCAGCTTTCACCTAAAACTCAGTGCTAGGTTTGTAACTAGAGTCTCTGGTGGACATGTTTCTAGGTCAGGGTTTCTATACATAACCAGATGCCTGTGACTTCTTAAGGATTCTCTATGTTTGCTGTGCCTTTGAGAGACCTTTTATTCTTGGTTCATATACTATGGCCTATCCAATAATGTTTTATTCTACTTTAAAGTTTTTCTCCAAAACCAGAATATTTATGAGAATCAGTAGAGACCAGAAAAGTGAGGCAAAGATTTGGAGAGGATTCTAATTAACCTCCCTTTGCTTTCTTACATTTTCATGGAACAAATCAGGGTCACCTCATCTTTTGGTTCCAAAATCACCAGGTTGGCTTTTCACAGAAGGGCTCAGTTATCTTGGTTCCTTGAATGCTTTCTTAATGGCCCCATTGCCCAATCCTTGCCCTCTTTTCATTGTGACCTGTTTTATATAATGGCTATTGAGCCTAATTAAAGATTGTATTTTTTCTTCTCATTTCACATCACGGCCTTGGTGAATGTATTTTATTGTCTCAAATGCTAGCCAGTCTGGGAACAAACATGGCATGCTATTTGAAGTTTTCATTATGGAAGAAGGTCCGATGTTGATTTTGGGGAAAGAAATCCTGGTGGGATACTGACTGACCGCATCTAGAAGTGACAGCAGCAGAATTTTGCATCTGGGATTCATCAGCCATTTCTTACCACAATGCAGAGATCTAAAGCCAGAGTAGTCCATCCTTCTCTATCCTTCCCTGCACATTCATCATCTCCATCTCCAATCAAACCACTGAACAGTTCACCCTATGTGAGGTCTCTCTTCTGTATTTTCGATATCTTCCCAAAACTCGGTTTTTCCTTGTGCTGGCTTGTCTGGCCAGTGCAATAGCTTCATATACTGTCTTAGCTTTCTAAAGTACTTTGTAACTTGCAATTCAATGGTATGGAGCTATTTTCTCCAGTAGGAGCAGCTGAAGAGGTAAAATGAAATTAACAAAAACCTTAACAATGTCAAAGGATGACAGGTTTCTGTATGTACTCCCTCCAAAAGATCCAATATGAAGGAGGAAAGACCAAGCTGCAGTTGTTTTTCTGAGAAAGGCAAAGAGATACACCATATATGTAGGTTGAAATAATAAATCTGTTGAGATTAACCATGCAAGGTTTCTTCTGATCAGCCTGTTGCTGTTTTAAAATATCAATAAATGGCTGCATGGCATAAGAGATGCAGGAAGATAAGAGTGAGAAGGCAGACAGTAGTTTCACTGCCCCACTGCCCCTTCCTAACCTTGACAAATGTCCTTTGAATGACCTTGATGCAGTTACCACTGTTGTCATTGTCCTCTCTGATGAATTGTTTTTTTTTTTTTTACTTTCAGCTCGGGGACCTGCTTCACAAGTTACAGTTTGTCCTGACGTATGTGGCTCCTTGGCAGATGGCTTGGGGTTCTTCGTTTCACGTGTTTGCTCAGCTCTTTGCCATTCCTCGTATCCTTTCTGCTTCTATTTTCACCCTCCAGCTGAGATTCACATTTTACGGAAGCAAGCTTTTCATTGACCCCTGGCAATAAAAAGATTGTAAAATCTTTAAGATTACATTTTAATGGGGACATGAAGAGGCACTTTGGATCCCTTTAGGCCACTTAGCCTTAAAAGATACTTCTTAATTTTGAACTCTTCCTGCTTCCTAATGCATATTCAGGAGTTACTTTTATTTTTTTTTCTGGTCCTTCCATTTCCCATGCCCAGATCTGCATTAAGATACCCTGTCTTTTAAATGGAAAGTTACTGCTTAAATGATTGAGTCACCTTGTGCAAAATAGTGCAAATACATTTGCTGTTATTAAACATTGTGGATAGGGTTGATGCATTCAATACATTTTTATCAAGTGTATATTATTTTATAGTATGGTTATCATATTGTACTTCAGTGATGTTCAGAAACCCAAGGTTAGGTACAAACAGCATTTGGAAGACTAACAACTTAAATTATGGTCTTTTAGTGGCTATTAGGCAGGAAGCCTTGGTTTCCATGTGTATTTTACAGTGTTTACATAATAATTTTAATTTACTTCATAACAAATTTTGAGATGCTCCTTCTAAACATCACTTTGACATTGATAGCTAAGTTTTATATATGTGCACATGTGGGTAAGGGGAAGCGGAGAGAGAAATTGCTTTAAAAATACTCTCGAAGAAAGAGATTAATTAAAATTTGACTCAGACCTAAAATACGTCCTCAAAGGTTTTCCTTCCCACTGAATTTAGAGTTTTTAAACCTGTGTGTTTCCCAGGAAACAGGGACCACTTGCATCAGAATCCCTGGAGGAACTAATTAAACTAAGTAGATTCCTGGGCCCAGCTCATACTTTTTAAATCAAATTTCACGGGCCGGGATCCTGGAGTCTGTCTTTTCACAAGCTTTCTTGGTGATTCTTATGCCATCAGTGTGTGTGAAGCACAGTTCTAAACTCTGGCAATCCATCAGGGCTGCTGTTAGCTAACTTGAATGACCACTCAGCGCTCTCTTCCATATGAAATTTACATAAGGCTCATTAAGACAATTCTTAAGGAATCTCTAGGATCTTAACTTGGTGTACAGGAATGGAAACATACTTAGGATAATCCTTGAGTAATAATATATTTTATATTTTGAAAAATGATTTCTTCCAGGCCCATAACTTTTTTTAAAAAAAAGTTAAGCATACGAAGAGTGGATCTCACAATACACATTGTTCTATGTTCCTATTCTTAGATGTGCATTAATATTTCTAAAGTGTTTCAAGGTCATTTGGCAGAACAAGCTAAGGAAAAATTATATATATATTTGCAAAGCCTGAGCTTGTGCTCCACCCTTTCCCTTTAGCTGCAGTCACTTTCTATAAAGCCAGTAATTTCAGTTTTCCAAATAGAGTCCTTTAAAACAAAAACAGGTGAAATATTGAGTTGATTTTTAATCTCTTTCTGACGTATTTCTAAAGTTTCCTTTTTAGAATTTAAAGCATGTTTATTCAATGAAAATGATTAGATTAACGCAAATTTGTTGTTGAGGAGTTGCACCAAGAATTTAAAACTTGAAGTTATAATTCCTGATGTCATAACTTTGGACTTGCATCTGTCTGTAGCATTTCTTGTTGATGTTTATGCCTTGTTAGGTGAGTTCAATATTACTTATTATTCCTTGGAGTTCCACGACTGAATTAAGACTGTTCTGGGAACCATAATTTTCAAATACTTGCCCTATATTCGTGTTGAGGGTTCACACATGAGCACATGGTATTTGGCACTTAATAAGTCCTATAAGAATAAAGACAGCATTAGGATTTATCTCAGCTTGTGTACAGTGAGCATTAAATTTAAATACTTTCACGATGTATAGACTAATTGCCTTACAACATGGAAACATTCGAGATGCAAATTTTATTGGGCATTTGGTGGTTCCGTTTTAGAACACTCAGTGGACCCCCTTGTTTTGTTCCTAAGCCTGGCCCTGTTAGTGACACCCACTTCCACCCCTTCTGCTAAGATACAGAGCCTTCAAATTGACCTCCCTGGAGGCTGGCCACTGACAGTATCTTTACCCTCTCCCCCGTACCCATGGACACCCCCTCATCCTTCCTCAGTTGTAAAGGTAGATATTTGTTCCTTGGAGTCCAACATCATGCTGTTCAAACTATAATCAGATAAATAGTTGAAAAACTGGATATACATGCCACCCAGACAAAGCTATTAAGTTATTAAGTGTCAACCATGGATCTTGGCTAATTTTGAAATGTTAATTATTTTATCACTCTATTAAGAAGCTGTGGGCTCCATATCAGCATTGAAAAGGGACTAATTTGCTCTGTTTTGGAATTGAATTAGCTTTCAGGCCAGCAGGGCACTGTTTGGTAAATTGCTTTTTCTAGTACTAGCATGTTTTCTCCCTCCATAGCCTCTGTTAGCTTCTGAGCTTGTAACCTCCAGGGAAAGATGAGAATATTCACCCTTTTAATATGTGTAGAGACCATGCAAGACCATTGTCTTCTAATAATTAGATAGACTTAGCCAGATTCTCTATAGTAAACCCAGAGATTGGGAGGGCTGCTTTCTACTTGGTGCATCCTTTTGCACTTCTAATGATTTTTTAAAATCTTTTCATAATTGATGCTTTCTGGCTGGGCACAGTGGCTCACGCCTGTAATCCCAGCACTTTGGGAGGCTGGGGAGGGCAGATCATGAGGTCAGGAGATTGAGACCATCCTGGCTAATACGGTGAAACCCCATCTCTACTAAAAATACAAAAAAATTAGCAGGACGTGGTGACAGGCTCCTGTAGTCCCAGCTATTTGGGAGGCTGAGGCAGGAGAATCACTTGAACCTGGGAGGCAGAGGTTGCAGTGAGCTGAGATGGGGCCACTACACTCCAGCCTGGGCGACAGACCGAGACTTCATCTCAAAAAAAAAAAACAAAAAACAAACAAAACAAATAATAGATGTTTGCATTTTAAGTGTGCTTTTGAAGGAGTGATCATCTACCCCTTAGGTTAATCTCTCAGCTGTTTCTCTTAGAAATAAAGTGGGCTTTATGCGCCTACTCCTCTTAGTAGCTCTTCTTTCTTGGCGCTGTCTTGCCAGTAGTAGTGACAGCCTTTCCTCTTTGCCCAGAGTGTGCTATAATTCTTTACTGATCTTTCCTGAAAAAAAGGTCCTCTTTATTCACTGCCACCCTCCCTCTAACCTGTTAAACGTCATTTCCTTTCCTACCACATTGAACTTTATTTTTAGACTAGCACAGTTTCCTCACTTCTTAAATTTTGGATAATTGTTTCTGGCATTTAAAAAATGTACAATGTAATCTCTAGGGAAATTTTAGAATCAAAAACAAGAGCCAATCAGCCCCCCTTTTAATATGTGTAGAGACCATGCAGGACCCCTGTGTTCTAAAAATTAGACAGACTTAGCCAGATAATCACATATTAGCACATCTGCCCAGCCCTGGCTCCACTTGGTTTTGTCCTGGTTCCTCTGCAAGCCTCATCACACCCTCTGTCCCCTGATGTGGGGACTTCTCCCTCTTCCTTTCTTCTCAACACAGCCCCTCAGAAAACTCCAGCTCTGACCTCACTCTGCTTTCTAATATTTTTTTCAATACCTTCACGCAATGATATCTTCCGTGCAATTCCCTTTTCTTCCAATGACAAGGAGCATAATAGCTAATATGTTGTGTTTTGTGGCAGAAGTATTTAGGTATTTTCAGCTTTCAGAAGAGGAAACTGATGGGTGATAATAGATATTACAGTAGCGTATTGTTCTGTAGTTCTCTATTTGAACCTAGGTCAAAATAAAAAGAATTGGATTTAAATTGCAGCACAATAGAGATCTTTTTGATACCTAAACAATTCAACATTGGAATGTATTATTAGTGGAGGATGTGACATTTTACTCCTGAAAATGCTTGGGAGTAAATCGAAAGTTTAAAAAAAAAAAAAAAAGTCACTCTTGAAAAAAAAAATCATGATTTTTTTGAGACAGAGTCTCACTCTGTTGCCCAGGCTGGAGTGCAGTGGTGCAATTCTAGCTCACTGCAGCCTCAAACTCCTGGGCTCAAGAGATCCTCTCACCTCAACCTCCTGTGTGGCTGGAACTACAGGTGTGCACCACAATGCCCGGATAATTTTTTTTTAATCTGATTTTAAATCTACTAAAATGTATGTGAAAGTGTGGACAGCGCAAGACTCGCTCCTGTTTTATATCTTACATATAAATGGGACTATTAGGGAATCCCTACTTCCATCCCCACCCCTTTATCACATAATTTGTTTAACCTTATGTTAAACCACTTAGAAGTCTGAGTTACTTCTATATTCTTGATAATGAAATGCAGAGTCTTCCTGTCTGTGCCAAGCATTTCCTTTTTACTCTGTGCCAGAACTTTTTGAACATGGGTTACAGAAATAAGACCCCCTTAGTTCAGCAGTGAGAGAGATACAGCTGTCAACAACTTCCCAGCAGAAGACAAGCCTTGTAGGAGGTCAGATCAGATCTGTAGTAGAATGATCCAAGTCCTAATACCTACCCTAGGACCAGGAAGGATGTCCATATTACAGGACCTGGGCAATCTGGCTCTCCACTGACTTCTGCCACCCCCATGGATTCTGGCCAGCAGTTCTTTCTTGCACTTCCAACCACAGGCCCCACAGAACCTCTGCGCCACAATGATGGTGAGTGATTGGCAGCTGGGAGTCTCCAGTGATGGAGTGAGACCTGAAGGGACCAGCTTGCTCAGAGAACTGTTGCTTCTGGCTCCTCGCCACTAATCACCAAAGATCCGTTGGGCTTAAGCCAAAAGCAACAGACATGCTAAGTTTAATATTGAGCAGTTACCTCTTTGATCAAGCAAGGTGTGTGAAATTAACACATGCCAGTACATGAGAAACTCATGTAAGAATGCCTATAGAAGCAACTTGGCCCACAAAACACTTACTTCATGTGCATGTGGTGTTCTTTGCTTAAAAACTAGATATGACTTGAATTGAACCAATGGTGTTCAATATACAGTATCTGTTTATCTGCGTATGCATCTACCCAGGTAGATAGATGGATAGATATTTCGAACAGTGGGAAAACATTCTTCAAGAAACAGATGCTACCTTCCCGAACAATTCTATTATTTGTTTTCAAAAAGTATCGTCTAATATTAATTATTTACAAAGCTACTTGATACTTTAGTAAATGTACCCTAGTGTGTTTTGTTCAGCTAATAATCTTAGTAAAGAGAAACTGTTCTTTTCAATCCTTAGATATTAAATCTTTGCCATGAATCAGACTAAGACCGCTGAGATTTTTATGAGAATCATTTGGTTTACATGGTGGTAAAATGAGACGTAGCAGGGTACTACTGAAAGTTTTATGTTTATAAATCTATACATAGAGAGATTAAGTGTGTGTCCTTTGTTCTTTCTTTGGTGGAAAAAATGGCTTTAGTGAAAACTCATCAAAATTTGAAATAATATTTTAAAAATATAGGAATAATATTTTTTTTTGCCTTAACTCAACATTCTCAGATTCTGCCGTGCTTTTCTTTCAGACGATTGCCACGTCAATCTTTTCTACCCCATTGAGCCCATTTCTTGGGAGTGTCATTTTCATCACATCGTATGTCAGGCCAGTGAAATTCTGGGAGAAAAACTACAAGTAAGATCCTAAAATCAGTGCTCAATTCCTTTTCTCCAGTGTGCGCTTCAGAAGGTTCCTCTGCCTTCCTCTGTTAGAGGGTCCCTGGCTCCAGGTTTCCCCCGGCTGTGGGGCCAGGCCAAACCTGTCTCTTTTGATGACTTCCTCCGTTCAGTGACTCAGCTCTTGGGTCTCAGGGATCTGGAAAGAACATGACTGATTTCAAATTAGCCAACGAATGCTAGTCCGGGTTTCATCAGTTGTGAAGGAAGAGTTATCACTGCCAAATTTTCGTAGGTGACCTAAGGGAAGGTTGTTTAACAAGCCATTGGTAATGTCCTTTGATATGCCAAGATGGTCCCTGGATGGCATCTTTTTTTCCTGTCTGTAGCATCGCTTTTATGAGCATTCTAAATAGCCAGTCTTGTATAAGTGGGCAGCCATCACAGATGTATGGAAAAGAGATCACCAGTTTTTCTGGGTGCCATAAAATTTGTGGCCACTATTTGGACCTGTCATAAATTTCCTTGAGCAATTGGTGATTGACGAAGTAGGAATGTTATTCCTACGGGAAGGTTTGAAGAGAGAATTGATGGTTCACCAAGTAATCCTAAAGACCTCTTCATGATTTGTGGGGGGAGGTCTTGAGAATAGCTAGCAGGGAAGGAAAGCGTGTGTCTTCAGCAGTCTTCAGCTGGGACAGAGAACTCTGGATTGCTCCATGTGTTACAGCACGTCTTCCATTTCAATCTCCTCTGCCCTAATTTATTAACCATACTTGTGCTATTTATTACTTTTAAACCCTAATCCTTTTTCCATAATTTATTCACATTTTGCAGAGTGCTAGCATTTTACAGTGTGTCTTTTATGTCTCACAGAAGCCATCATTAAGTTAGACCCGTGGTTTCACGCTTCTCCCGAGGGATGGTTTATAAAATGTGCATCCTTCTGGCACAGGTGTGTGGCTTAGGGATTAGAACACAGCCTGCCTGAGTTCACACCTCATCCCTCCCACTTAACATTGATCATTTCAGGCCTCCTTTTCCTCACCTGTAAAATGGAAGTGAAATCATAGGACCTACTTCATAGACTTGTGAAAAGAAAATGAATTAACATACATAAAACACCAAGAACAGGAGCTGCCACAAAGTAAGCACCACGTGAGCCTGGGCTAGGATGATTATTCTCCGACTGCTCCGCGGGGAAGTTCCTGTCCCAGCTTGACCCATGCTAGTGGGTGTTTACCATGACTGGGGGGATCTCCTTCGGACAATCTCACGTTTAGGGGTGCCCTGGTGAAAACTAATCAAACCAGTGAGCCCTGCTTCCGGCCCGTGAGGAGTGGAGGGAGGTCCCTCAGGTTTCTGGCAGATTTCTTCTAAGAGACGTAGATTTTGCAATAAAAGTAAAGTTGTCTTGAAATTCACACATAACAAGGCTGCTCATTTGCATTTGTCTAAAGAAACATGCATATTTACAGAGCCAGAGAGTAAAAGAAAACTACCACAGTTGGCTTCTCTTTAAGCTTTTTTAGGAGAAAACAATTTGGGGGACCTTTTAGGCGTTCTGAAAGTCACGCTTCTGGAAAGTGCAAATACTTGTAAATAAGAGGAGGGGCATTTTCTCATGCTTTCACTTAAACAGGGAAGGAAAATACAACATATTTAAAACTTGGTCAACGTATTTAAAACTTGGTGCTCAGTACAAAAGGTTTCTTTTTGCCTCCTATTCTCAGATAGGGAATCAGTCTTTCTGGCATGGGAAGATTCAATAGAAGTAAAACACCTCTCAGTTGAGTCGGAAAGGATATTAAGTGGAAAGGGGAATCTTTGTGCAGAGATGACCTTGGAGGGAAGCATTCTAATACCTGCGCAAAAGGAGTTAGGTGTTTTGTTATTTAGTCTCCTCACTTCCCAAATTCAGCCATCCTTTTTGAGTGAGATGCTTGGGTCTGAATTGTCAGTTTATGTGGGTTACTCAAATGTATGGGCTTCTAGAGCAAGATTTATGTTTATTCAGTCCCACAAAGAACTGTTTCTGCCGCGTTTATTCTTTTCATCAGTAAATAACACAGATATGAGCACTAGGCTCCCTGTATATGTATGGGGGGTGTCTGCCTCTGGATGCCCTTCTCATGGGTTGGAAGAGGGCTTGCTTCAGGGTCTAAGGGGATGTACAAGGATACCTGCCCTTGCCTAGGTCTTTCCGAAAGAGCCAAGTGGAAGGAAATCTTCAACTCCACTGCAGGAGTTGAGTCTTGGTGCCAAACCCAGTCTGCTGAAGGTCTATTGTTGCCTTTTGTGAAGGCATCAGAACGCAGCATCCTCTGGCCTGTCTGCTGAAAAGATCAGTGGAGGGAAATCACGACAGTAGAGTGGTGGCCACCAGGAAAGGAAATGACAGGAAATCTCATCTGGATCCTTACAAACACTCTGGAAATCTCATTCTATCTATTTAAAACTTTTTTTAGTTTCAAATCCTAATCAATGAGTTTTAGTGCTCTGACTGGAGAGTTTCTGTGTGGCCGTTCTAATTACCATCTTTTGAGTCTGATACAAAGGACCAGTCAGGTAATGTCATTTATCCTGTTTAATGTTGTACTAGTTGTTCCATCACTTTAAAAGGGATGCCTGAAAAGACATTCTCATCCGGAGCTTTAGTGAGCACATTTACCACCATGAACTGCCGCCACCAGCCTGGGTGTGTGTGCTGGAGGCCACCTAGCAGTCCCCTCTCCTGGCTTCCTCTTTCTTTTCACCCCTGCTCCCTCACTCTCCAGTCGCTTGGCACACATCTTTTCAAGCTGACTTGTGTTTGTGCAGGTCTCTAATGAGAGCTGCAGTGTACCGAAACAATTTTAATACTTCAAGGAAGTGGTAAATAAATCACCAGTGACCTGATAATCACAGCTAGTCCTTTTCTCCCCGAACTGGCCTGTCCTGAAACCTGCAGACCTCCTGTTCCCTGATGCTGTGCCTCACTGGGGTGTATGACAAATGTGTCCCCTGTCTGCCTTTTTACCCTAGCCTCCTAACGAACCTGCTTGCTACTCTCTGCCCACACACAGCTCTAGGATAGCTGTCCTAAAACACAGCTCTCAGCACGTCACTCTTCTCCTCAAAAGCCTGCAGTTGCTCATTGTGCCTGTGGGACAAGGAGAAATGCCATGGAGACCAGCGCTGTCCAATAGGAAGTTCTAGATGATGGACATGTTCTATGTCTGTGCTCTCCAATATGGCAGGTACCAGCCACATAGGGCTACCAAGCACTTGAAATGGGGTTAGTCTGACGGAGGAACTGAATTTTATTATTATTATTATCATTATTATTATTATTGTTATTATTATTTGAGACAGAGTCTCATTCTGTTGCCCAGGCTGGAGTGCAGTGGCGCGGTCTCCGCTCACTGCAAGCTCCACCTCCCGGGTTCACGCCATTCTCCTGCCTCAGCCTCCTGAGTAGCTGGGACTACAGGCACGCACCACCACGCCCTGCTAATTTATTTATTTATTTATTTATTTATTTATTTATTTATTTATTGTATTTTTAGTAGAGACGGGGTTTCACCGTGTTAGCCAGGATGGTCTCGATCTCCTGACCTTGTGATCCACCTGGCTCGGCCTCCCAAAGTCCTGGGATTACAGGCCACCGTGGGCCACTGTGCCCGGCCGGAACTGAATTTTAAATTCCATTTACTTTTAACTCACTTAAATTTAAATAGCCACCTGTGATGAGATTCTACCATATTGGAAAGCACAGATATAGACCCTTATTTCTCGAACTTTCCAGCCCATCTCCCACAACACTTTCCCACACATCATATCTGTGAATTTCCATTCCAAATCTCTCCTTGGATCATACCCTTCATATAGAATGACCTTCCCTCCCTCAACCTCTTCATCTCCTGTTCACACCTAGTTGGCAAAACCCAACTTAAATGGCAACTCTGCCATGAAGTTGCCCTGATCACCACAATTAAAAATTGTCTTTCCTTTCCTAAATTCCTCTAACAGTTTGCCTTTGTGTTCTTGTTATCTATTACTCAATAACAAATCTCTGTAAACCTTAGTTTTTGTCTTAAAACAACAGGAAACAATTTGTCATATCTCATGGCTTCTATGGGTCGGGAATTTGGGAAGAGCTGGGCTGAGTGGCTGTGGTTTGGGGACCCTTATGAAGGTGGTGACTGGGACTGAAATAGGGAATTGGAAGTGCTGGGGACTAACTGGACATCTTTCTCTCTTTTCGTGTAGTCTCAGAACCTCTCCGTGTAATCTCTGGGTGAGTGAGAGGTTTGGCTTCCTGAGAGCATGGTGGCCTCAGGGCTTCAGCAAAAGTTTTCTAGTGAGTAAGGTATTAATAAAAGTTACATTGATTTTTCTGGCCTAATCAATTCTCTCCCATTCTATTTTCTACAAGTAAGTCACTCACCCACCCAGATTCAAAGAAAAGGGAATTACGTTCTGCCTCTTGGTGGATATATGGTAAGGTTCAAGAGTGGTTTGCAGGATGGAGAGGTACTGTAGCAGTCATTTTGGAAAAATAAATTTGCTACTATGGCCATCAGTAAATTCTACCCAAGATTGGTGTAGTCTATATATACTTTCAATTCTGAACTTGTTTAGTTTTCATTTTTGTATGCCTAATGGGGTCCTGCAAAAAGTAGGTGTTCTGTACATTTTTCTTTTTTTTGAGACGGTGTCTCACTCTGTCCCCCAGGCTGCAGTACAGTGGTGCGATCTCAGCTCACTGCAACCTCCGCCTCCCGGGTTCAAGTGATTCTTCTACCTCAGCCTCCTGAGTAGCTGGAATTACAGGGGCCTGCCACCACGCCTGGCTAATTTTTGTATTTTTAGTAGAGATGGGGTTTCACTGTGTTGCTCAGGCTAGTCTTGAACTCCTGATCTTGTGATCCACCATCTTCGGCCTCCCAAAGTGCTGAGATTACAGGCCTGAGCCACCGTGCCTGGCCTGTAAATATTTCTTAAGTGAATTAAGTCCAACAATATTATGTCAGAGGA